GCGGGCGGTGCCGAGGTCGCGTTGGATAGGTCCGGGGATTTGGGGCGCGGGGCCGGTGCGCCCCCGGAGCTCACCAGGTGCGCCACGGCCGAGCGCACCCGGCTTAACATGCTGCTTCCCTGCCCCGCCCTCGGCCGTGGCCCCGCCCCCGAGCTGGCTCCGCCCCTCGGCCCGGGGTGGGCGGTGCTCGCTGCTGCCGGCCTTCTACACAGCACGTTCCATACATTAGGACATTTATACCTCACACCAACCCCTCAGGGTGGATTTTATGATACTCATTTTACGGATGAGGCAGGACTGGACGTTCCTGTCATTTACATGGGTTGCTCCAAGAGGTCACACAGGCAGTGAGAAATTCACACCCATATCAACCTCTTGACGACCAAGCCCGCTTCTGTCTTAAGAACCAAGCTGATTTCTCCAGATCAGGGAGGAAGGGTTAAGAAGGAGATGAATGGCAGAGAGAGAAGTGGGAGCTCCTCCCCTCCCACCCTCCTCCTCCTGGGGCAGAGGCTGTGAGCAGTCCGGGGATGCTGAGTAAGCTCTGTGGCTGCCTCCAGGGGGAGACAGAGGCCAGGCTAAATGTTTGCCCAAGAGGAGGAAAAGCCTGTTCGATGGAAGAGTAGGACTGGGCCCAGCCCCTGGTGGGCTGCCTCTTCTTTCTGCCTTCTCCCCTCTTGGAGAGGGTGGTATTGACCGGAGCTCTGTCCCTAAAGCTGGTATCAAAGGATTGATCACTAGATCTCCAGGACACCACCAACCCACACACGGTTCAAATAGGTGCAAGGGCCTTGTGGCCCTAATGCTAGTTGGTCCTAATGCGAGCTTTCAGGGACCACTGGCACCCAGTTCGTGGTTGGGACTCCACCTCTGGTCTCTGTCAGAGGGTACTTCCTGACCATGTCCCCTTCTGTTCCCCAGGCTAAACTGTGTCCCAAGGAGGGGTGGCTTTCCTGGCAGCTTCCAAGTAAAAATCCCACAATGGTCATTCAGGTTTGTAGACTTGCTAACATTATGCCTGAACTTTAGGAAGAGAGAGCCAGAGAAAAAGAAGTCACAAGAGAAAACAACAACAAAAAATCAGACCCAAAGGCACATAGAGCAGCAAAGGCAGGCAGGGACAAAGAACAGGCTGCATATGAGTGTTTCCCACCTGTCTGAGAAAACTGGAACCAACTATCAGATAAAAGGCATAACAGCAGTAGCAAGCCAAAAACAGAGGGAAAAAATATAATTCCTGGTTATTTTTATTATTCAGTGTTTTGGGGACAGTTTACTTACCTCTTCTCAGTGTCACGCAGCTCCCTATTCCCTCTCTTCACAGCATCCACCATAGTGTGGCTGCAAGTGGGCCACAGAGCCAGGGCCCAGAGACCTCCCCCCAGCTCTAGCACCAGCTGTTTAGCAGGGAAGTCCACGGCTCCCTTAGGCTCCAGAACAGCCTCCCAGCCATACCCAAATCCTAAGGATCCTCTCTCTGAACCTCTCACCTCCTATTCCTGGTGCCATTACACCTCCTGTGTCTTCAGACTGCCCAACCCTGGTGAGAAGGTTATCACTTCTACTCATCCCTGAGGCAGCAGAAAGTGAGAGGGAAAAGGAGGTGGAGTGGGAAGAAGCAGGCTTGGGAGAACGTGAGGCCTGAATCAGCGAGGGGGACTGGGCAGCCTCAAGACAGGCTCCTTTATCCCAGGCCACATGCAGTGGCTCAGGGCCTAGTACTAGGTTTCTTGTCTCTTGTCTCTATATTAGGCCAACCCCAAAGCCCCCTTAAACTAAAAGGAGTGTCCCTTTCATTAAGACACAAATTCATAGAAAACTTCTCCCTCCCATTTACCTAATAGTTTCACATCCACAATATAACCCTGTAAAGAATTATACAATTGCAATTATATTACAATTTTTCTTTTCTTTTTTTTTTTTTTTTTAAAGATGACTGGTAAGGGGATCTTAACCCTTGACTTAGTGTTGTCAGCACCACGCTCGCCCAGTGAGCGAACCGGCCATCCCTATATGGGATCCGAACCCGGGGCCTTGGTGTTATCAGCACCGCACTCTCCCGAGTGAGCCACGGGCCGGCCCTATATTACAATTTTTCTGATGAAGAATTTGGATCTCAGAGTTTGGTTTCCAAGTTGGTATTCACACAGGGACCATTAGCCAGCCTATTTTAGCCCTCCTGCCTGGGGCCCCCCACCCCTCCTACTCCCTTCCCCTGGGGGCACCACTCCTGGGGTAGAGATATTTACCACAGCTTCCTGAATAATAATCTAGAAGAGTGTTGTGCGACAGAACTTTGTGCAATGGGAATGTTCTGTATCTGCTCTGTCCAGTTCGTTAGTCCTTAGCTTCATGTGGCTATTGAGCCCTTAGCATATGGTGATAATGAGGAACTGAATTTTAAATTTCATGTAATTAATTTAGATTTAACTTAAATAACAACATGCAGCTAGTGGCTACTGTATTGGACAGTGCCGTTCTAGAATCTTCAAAGCTCAAAAACCATGAGGGTCTGGGCAATCGCTCTTCACTCCCAGGCCAGCCACCTCCCCCCGTCTCCCGCCTCCCACGAGCCACAGTCCTAGGTGCCACCAGACCTGCAGGAGTTTGGAGGATTTCCTCGGAGGTAGTCCGGCCTGCACCAGGGAGATGACCATGCGGACGGCACCTGCGGAGGCCGATGTCCTCCCTTCCCTCCTCTTGCCCTCAGCCACCAGGGGCCGCTGCGTCCTGGCCGTGCCGGGCCGAGCGCCCCGAGCTGTCCCGAAGGAGGCGGCGGCGCCCGCGCGGGGCTGGAGAAGCGGGGGCGGCCCCGGGCGATCAGGAGGCGGCGGCGGTGGCGCACTCCCCGGCCTGCCGGCGGAAGCCTCGGTAGAAACCCGCCTGAGCTCTACAAGAGCTGGCGGGGTCGGGCCCTGAGCTCCCCCGTGCCCAGAGGCGGGCCCGCCATTGCCGGTGGAGCCCCGCCGTCCCGGGGGCGCAGCAACTTGGTGAGGGGGACAGGGCTCCGGACAAGACAGCACCCGAGCTGGCAGCTCCCGCCTGGAGTCCACCTTTCGGGGTCTTGGTGTCAGGCTCAGAGGCTCAGAGGACCTCAGGGTAGCAGGTCGAACCAGTGGGCACTGCCGTGGGGCAGGTAGGTCCTAGGTGTGGGGGCTCAGAATTTGGAGGACAGAGTGGGTGCTGGGGGGAGGGTGATGGAGGAGGTGGGGGAAGCTTGAGGTTCTCGTGGTTCACATCCTCAGCCCCTTGCTGGTATGCCGGCTACCCACTCAGCCTCAACATAGCTTGGACTGGGGTTTGGGGAAAACAGGCTAGAAAACTGAGGCAGGAACGTGAAAGCTGAAGAAGAAATCCAAGAAGCTTCTTTCTCCAGCTCTCTCTGAGGGAGGGAACAGAATGCCAGAGATCCCGGCCCAAATCCTTCCCCACCCCCAATCCCTCCGTTTTGGGGGCCTTGGGGTTCATGGGTCAGATGGGTGAGTTGATTAGAGGGTGTGGCACTCAGAGAGAAATAGGATCACCCGAGAGAAGACAGTTTAATGTGGTTGTAATGGTGAAAACGAGGGTTCCCAGTGGGGGCAGGGAGAGGAGATACCTGCTCAGAAAAGAGGGGCATCAGGAAGGGTGGGAAGCTCTTTGCCCAGGGAGCACACCCATCCCTGGGGTATCAGCGCCACTTCCTCCACCTGCCCACACAGCCCCTCTTGGCTTTCTCTCGATCCCGGGAGCTAGGACACAGGGTGCTCTGGCCTTCCTGGGTGGGCCCCACCGTCCTGTGTTTCAGTTCCACCCTTCTTGAGGCTGAGGGAGGAGAGGTCCTTAAGGAGAAATGGAAAAGCTGTTGCGGGCTGTGGCCTCTGAGGCTCAGCGTCCTGGAGAAGCCCATTCTGGCCCTCTGGAGTGGGAATGGGGTTGAGGGTGGCAGAGTTGAGCCCATTCCATGGGAGTCCAGGAAGCCAGTACCATGGAGGCAGGAGGTGGAGACAAGAAGGAGTGAGGGCCCTGGATGCCTCTTCCAGCAAGGGATCCGTCAGGTTCTGCTCCTTCCCTGACCCTCGCCAGGGAGGTGACAGTACTGATTCTTAGACACCTCCCTACCACCACCCCTGCTTCATTCCTGGGACAGAGAAACTCCCTCAGGCCACTCTTCTCAGGCTCACCACCCTACATGTTCTCAGAGTCTGCGGGACCCCAGCAAATTCCCAGTGCAGAGGGAGAGACTCTATTGCCTGCCCTGGCACCTGGGAACAGCTTTGGAATTGGGCTCTACTTCAGTGCCCAGTCTACCCCCATGTCCTCTCCCAGGTCCTCCTTCACCCCTGCGGGGCCATGAGCTCCCTCTGTTCTTTGCAGCCCTCCAAGAATCTTTCCTACTTGTCTAGGTGGAGTGAGTCTGAGGCCAGTAGATGAACAGACAGAAGTTGAAAGGTCTAAAAAAGGTGAGTGAGGAGACAGTTGAAGATGGAGAGGAGGGTGGACAGAGCTCAAGCACCGTATCCCAGGGAGCAGCCGGGTCCTGGCATTTGGTTTGGGTGGTATTCCCAGAACTGTGCTGGCACTGAGGGAGCCCGGCAGTGCCCCAGGGGCTAGCAGAGCAGCAGAGGCAGTGGTCCAGGCCCACCCCTGAGCTAGTGGCCCTGTGGCCCCCTGGGGCAGCTCTCAGCTGTTCTGTGCCTCTGCTTCCCTGTGATTCCCACCATTTCTAGCCCACCCTCTGGGATAGATTTGGGAGGCCCGAACCATCGAGGATGGAGGAGGAGAAGGAAAGGGGAAGAGAGGAGAAGCCAGGCGGTGCAGCAGGCGGTGCAGCAGGCATAGCGCAGGCCTCTGGGCTCTGGACTCTTCCATATATACTGCCAGGCCTTGGCTTGGGCAAGTCGTTTGACTTCTATTAGCCTCCATTTCATTTTTTCTTTTTTAAATTTAAATTTTGTTTAAGTTGCATTGCTGCTGTATTTCCATGGTTTGAAACTCAAAAAGTAAAAAAGAAATCAGGAGAAAAATAAGTCTTCCTTCTACCTTCATCTCCCAGCCAACCAATTTCCCTTCTTGGTGGCAAACAATGTTATTAGGGGTTTTTGTGGTACATTTTCCAGTGCTAGTTTATGCATATTTGAGCAACAGAGATAATCCCTCCCTTTTACACATTTTGTCCACACCACCCTACACTTAGCTTTTTTCTCCTTTACGGTGTTTTATCATTGGAGATCATTGCATGCATCAGTACACAAAGCATTTCCCCATTGTTTTTTTACAGCTGTCTGGATGGGACTGCATTTGTACACATTCTGTACAACATATTTAGCTAGTTCTTTACTGATGGTTGTTTAGGCTGTGTCCAGGCTTTTTGAGCTTTGGTTTGCTCATCTGTAATCATAATCCTGCTTTGTAGGACAGTCGTGAAGGATTCAAGAGCATGCACATGAAGAGCTTGGTCAAGTGCTCAAAAAGTAGGAGACAGAATTATTGTTACTCCTATGTCACAGCACTCCATGGGACCATATCCAATTCATCCTCCAAGGCCCCCTCTTAAGTGTCATCTCCTCCACAGGCTCTCCCTTCCTGCTCAGGCCACTGTAGCACTCATCACTTCCTATGGTGGTTTTGTGCCAGGCTGAAAGCTGCCTGGGGTCATGGTGCACATCCCACCATCCTTGTACCTCCCAGAGTGTGTGGCACAGAGAAGGTGCTGGGGCTGGGCACCAGGTGAGCTCCTGCCTGGAGCCAATCAGGGTGTGTGCTTCTGTCCACAGGATGAGTGAGAGGGCTGCGCAGAACTGGAGCACAGGTGGCTGGCTGTTGGTACTGTGCCTGGCCTGGTTGTGGACCCTCTTAGCCTCGGCTTCCTCTCAGCCTCCTACTACGACAGGTTTGGGGGAGTTGGCAAGGCCTGAGGAGGGGGTTTCCCAGGACACCCTACCCTGTTACACAGCAGGCAGATCTCCTAGGCAGAGGAAAATCCACAAATTCCAGGGTTTCTGGCTCCTCCTATGTTCTTCACCCAGGAAACTCTGACCCCCTCTGCTGTCCCAGAGCCGAGAAGGCCTGGGCAGACCCATTGCTCACCTCCCTTCCTGGCTGGAAGGTGTTCTGCAGGAAGAGAGGCCCTCGGGCCGGAGCTTAAGTCTAGCCTCCTGGCCTAATTCTGTGGTTTTCCTTCGGGGATGGCTAAAGCCTGTGTAAGCGGATGATCCTCCCCACGCATTGTAAGCCCTGGGGCCCTTGCCCTCACCCTGAGGAAGCTGCGGAGGTGGGGGCTGGTGTGGGACTCCATCTTTCTTCTGTGCAAGGGCTGGCTCTGCCAAAGGGTGATGACTGTGGCCTCACTGGGGAGGAGGGCAGAACAGGAAGATTTCATCCACTCCCTCCTCCCCTGCCCTTGGAAATCTCTTGAATGGCCCTCCCCCGAGCAGAGAGGAGGGGCTCCAGGACAACCAGGGTGGGTAGGAACGTGCAGGGTGGGGGCCTGAGAGGGGGTCTGATCTTGTGCTGGCCCTTCCAGTCCTCATGAAGCAGGGCACCTGCGAGGTGATTGCTGCTCACCGCTGCTGCAACCGGAACCGCATTGAGGAGCGTTCTCAGACTGTCAAATGCTCCTGCTTTTCTGGCCAGGTGGCTGGCACCACGTGGGCCAAGCCCTCCTGCGTGGATGGTGAGTGAGAGGCCAGGACCCGGCGGGGAGGCCCTGAGCAGAGCCATAAGGAGGTCTGTCCAGGTCTCACCATATGCTGGGGATACAATTTCATACCCATCTCAGGGCTTTCGTGATCTGAGTCTTAAATGATGGGGCACGCTCGGGGGCGGAGGGCAGATGTGACCATCCCCATGTGATAGATAAGGTAAGCTCTCGTTATGTGCACCCCCTCCCACACCCACACCCACTGCCTGGCGCCTGCATAGACGCATTCCCTCACTTGCTCCTTCAGACATGGCTCTTGCACCTACTGCTCCTTTCCCGGCATCTTCCACATGCCTCCTGTCATTCTCAGCCCTGCCTTTACCCTCGCCTCACGGGGACGTGTGCATTGCTTCACACCACTCCCTGTCCCCGACCCACGCTGGTGTTCTCATGCTCACATGGCACCCCTATCAGCATGCCCACTGTGCTCACACACATGCCAGCTGTGCACTCCCAGTCTGTAGACCCCTCCAAGCAGCTCACACACTCACTCACACACACTGAGGGAATGTGATGAAGATTGTGCCTCTCTGCTAGGGACATGCCTGCCTTAGGGACCACTTCACCTGCCTTCATTTCTCACTATCTGGTGAGATGCAAGGATCAGTGGGTTTAAAGTTGATAGGGTTTTGTCCCCGGGCTGCAGCCTGAGTACTACTTCTCTGGGCAGCCTGGACTAGGGCAAAGACAAGAGAAATGCAGGGCTCAAAGCCAGGGGTGTGGAAACATGCACCTTATTTGCAGACCTTCTCTTGACTGCCTGCTAAGCTCGCAGTGAGCTTAGAGCTATGCTTCTGCCTCCTGTTCCCACAGCCTCCATCGTCCTGCAGAGGTGGTGGTGTCAGATGGAGCCCTGCCTGCCGGGGGAGGAGTGTAAGGTGCTCCCGGATCTGTCGGGATGGAGCTGCAGCAGTGGACACAAAGTCAAAACCACCAAGGTATCCGGGTGGACACCTCATTTCACCCCTCCTCTTCTGCTTTCACCTGGGATAGAAAAGGGGGCACAGGAACTCTAGGGGTCTAGGATGTCAGTGTCTGTATTAGTCCGTTTCTGTTGCTTATAACAAAATACTACAGAACTGGGTGATTTATAAGAAAACAAAATTTATTGCTTACAGTTTCTGAGGCTGGGAAATCCAAAGTCCAGGGAACACAGCTGGTGAAAGCCTTGGTGGTGGCAACAGTGACAGCAGGGTATCACATTGCAAAAATGGTGGAGCAGAGAGAGACAGTTCCTCATGCACTGTCCTTTTAAAGCCCTCAGAACCACACCCCTGACCCCATTATTAGTCTGTTCACTATGGCATGGCCCTACAAACTAATCACCTCTTTAAGGCCCCACCTTTCAATTACCATAATAGGATTTCCCACCCTGCTAACAGCCATAGTGGGGGCTAAGTTTCTAATACATAAAACCTGGGAGACACAACTCAAGCTTCAGGGAGTTTGCGGGGACATAGTCCAATCCACTACAGTGTCGCAAGGTGAGATCTGTGAACCAGGAGAATGCATCCCCAGACAATCGTTGCGGGATTGTCCTCACCCTAGGGATTGGAGTTAGGAATTTGAAATCCAGTGTATCCTTTGTTCAAATTCTTGATGTTTCATGTGCCTTGGTTCCCTCTTCTTTGCCTCCAGACAACGTCAGGTCTATAAAAACAAAGTGGACAATTGAGGAAATTATCTAGATAATTCAGGGAGGAATTTCTGCTTCTACCTAAATTCCAGGTACAGAAGCCACTCTGCCTACCCACCTGTGCCATGGACCGTGCCCCCACCCCTGCCCCACTCCCACTATTGTTAATCCCCTATACTTCATACCTACCTTGCTTTAGTCAAATTACTCTGTCTTCAGTGACAGCAACCAAGAGGATTATTATTTTCATGGTTTGCTGCCTGCCCCACAGACCAAGGAGTAATTAAAATTTTACCAAACTCATTAGTGGTTCCACATGTGTCATGGTTAACCAGTCACATCACTCTGTCATCACCATTTGCACAGATGAGTGACACTTCAGGGCAAGCTAGAGTTCTGCCTTCTGCCTTCCCTCCTTGCCACCACACACAGCAAATAAGCAAATGAAAAATTAGAGAAGGAAAGGCAGCCCTCAAGTTTCAAAGAGGGCAACCATTTTCATAGAGCACAGACCAAAAAGAGCTACCACAAGGAAAAGTTTGGCCAGATATAAAGTAGAGCATCCTACCTGTAGGTATGGAAGGGAGACAGCTGTTCTGGGTATATTTAAGACTAGAAGAAAGTGAGACCTACCACAGAGCTTGTTACATTTGTCACCATGTTGTAGGTTTGTGTGTGTAGCCTGTAAGGCTGATCACTGCACTTCCAATTTGGGTAGCTACTCTGAAGTAAACAGTGGTGAGGCTTGCCTGATTTATGTTTGCATGGTCCTTGCTTCCCCAGTCTGGACTGCTTTAGGGGGAGGAGATCAGCAGCAATGACCTCTAAGTGACCTGTATATCCTGGGGAGTCTCTGGCATGCTGGAATGGGATAGGCATTCCCTTCTCTAACCTCTCCCATGACTTGCTCTCTAGGTCACACGATAGCTCTAGGAGTCATGGCCCAGACTGGACAAGCTCGAATGAGCTATGGACTGAAGAATGCTATCCAGTCATCAGCCAGCAAATATGGAGATTCACTTACCTGGACCCACACTCCATGCCATATGCAACATCAGGCTTTCCAGGGGCATTTCCATTAAGCTGCTCAGCAGATATGAATGGATGTCCGAGCACATACCTAGTGTTGAGCTGGGCTCTCTTGTGGACACAAAAGAAGGTCAAGACACAATTACTGCCCTTAGGAAACGTCTAATTGAGTTGGGGAATTGATGACAGACAACTTAGATAATTTAGATTAAAGTGTGTGGTACCAGACTGTGGCTTCTGGGCTACATGCTGTGGAGATGGTGGGGGTTTAGGAATGAGACTCCCACAGCTCTTCAGCTACCCCCTGGCCATGGGGCACAAAGACAAGAGGTCATATTCATGACCCATCACCTCCGTCCTTTACATCAGTACTGAATTCCTGGCAAGCAGCTAACATTTTGAAGAAAAACACTCTCCCTTTATGATGGCGGAATCTCCTTTGGATGGGATCGAATTAACTTGGGGAAGAAAAGCAAAGATGTTTCCAGCAAAGCTTCTGCAGAGGCATGGCCTGGTTTGGACCATTCATTGGGTATGGGATGGACAGGACCTTAAAATCACCACCATCCTATCACCTCAGGTTTTTGTTTGTTTGCTTTTAACAGATAAGGAAACTGAGTCCCAGAGAGGTGTGGTGACTTGATTTACAGCTCGGACTCCCAAATCTCTAACACTACTGACCTTTCACTAGGCAGGATGTTGGGATTTCAACCTGGGCTTTCCATGTTGATATTATCTCAAGTACTGAAACCTGCAAAGTACTGGCTGGATAGCAGCAACATTTTTCTCAGGAAATGCTGGAGCAAGACTTTTACCGAGGTCACTGCTCTCCTATCTGAAATAATCCAGATTACTCACATGCCAGGATGTGGCAACTTGGTCTCCACTCTGCCTTTACCCCCCAAAATTCCAAAGAGGCCCCATGACAGCCCAGAGGTCATTCAGCCAGTTACAGCTGGGACGCTCTGAGCTGGCATCCCTATTGCCCGCTCTGACCCATCTCTTCTGAAGTCTTCAGGCTGTAACTCTCAGAGGTTCAGGCTCCAGGAGAGAGTCTTAGTGGGATTTGGGGCCAGTCAGTGTCCTCTCTGTTCCAAGGTCCCTGACGGGCAGGAGGAGTGGCAGGCTGGAGCCTCTGTCCAAGATTGAGGGTCAGCACAGTCAGGCTGGCACCCTGGATGGCCTGGAGATGACACACAGTCTTCACGGACCCAGAGGCATGGGCTATGGGATATCTCATCAGTAAGAAAATTGCATCCTCCATGACTACTAGGATCAAATCGCCAGGGCCTTAGGAAGAGGAATGTCTGTAGAGACCAACCTGGACAGTGCTGAATTCTGACCCTCAGAGAAGGCAAATCAGATGATTGATGATTTGGGGATGAGTCTTAGTTCCTTCCCCTTTCCCAACCTCCCCCTGCATTAGAACAGAGACTGTTTGAGATCCTCCTTCCTCATCCCACTGCAGGTTATTATTTTCTTTTTGTTTTGTTTTGTTTTGGGTCATTGGGCGAACAATGATGCCAGCTTCTCACTAGGCTATAGATATCAGAACCCTGACCACTTTAAATCTTTGCATATAGTGGAGTCAGGGGTGGGGGGTAGTCAAGAAGTTGGACAAAAGTTGTCATTGCCTTCTTCAAGCCTGGAGATAGAGGCTGGGGGTGGATTCAGGGGTTGGCGAACTTTCTAAAAAGGGCCAGATAGGAAATATTTTAGGCTTTATAGACCACATACAATCTCTGTTGGGTGTTCTTCTTTGTTTTGTTATTGAGGTTTGTTGGTTTTGTTTCATTTTGTCTTAAAAACCTTTTAAAAATGTTAAAACCACTTTTTGCTTGAGGGCTGTACAAAAACAAACTCTGGGCCTTTTCCAGAAGGCTGCTGACCCCAGTGAAGCTTCGAAGGCAGGCTATCTCCGCAGCTTGGGCCTGCCTCCCAGCCTCCTGGCTGCCTTCTGTGCAGTGGGAACCTGAGCATGAGGGCTGAGTCGGGTTTTGGTTTTTTCCTAATGCTCCTTGAGAGATTGGTGAGTGAATTATTTAGGCCACAAATGGGACAACTTTAGCAGAAACAGACCATAAGAGCCTGCTGTCCTGGAGGCCGGAATGTGGGCTTCTCCACTCCCTCTCCACCCTCAAGGCTGTCCAGGATGGATGGACAGGACTCCAGACCCCCAGTCATCTGCTGCATCCACGAGCCACTGGGCTGTGAGGTGGGGATTGAGCCTGAGAGAGTGGGGATGATGCTGTACAAACTCTCCCCTGAGCTGCCAACTACTGTCAGCCCCTGCCTCAGCCAAAGTCCAGCTGCCCTGACCTTTCCTGACCTCTCTCATCCCTGCTTATGAAGAAAATGTCTTTCCTTTGACCTTGCTGGACTTTGCTGATTCATTTTCTTAACTCCTCAGGGCCTCCATTTCCTCCTGACCTATTTATATATTTATTCAGTGGGCTTTGAGGGGTATCCTTTATACAGCTAGAAGAGCCCCACATAGGAGGGTCTGATGGAGAAGAGAAAGTGTCTCACCTCCCAGCAGTACCTCGCTAGGGTTCTGTTCCCAACTAAGTCAATTTTTGTGAGCATTTTGTAGCTATTACAATGACAGTTTAGAAATGTGAACTTTCATGAAGCATAGGGTTCCTGGAGTCATTTGTCTTTCCCTTCTACTCTTACTGGGATGGGGACTCACATTCTCTGAAGTAGCTGGTATCCCTGCCCTCCTAAGCCATGAAGGACTTAGGAAGGTTGCCAAATACAGGAGATCACGTGACTAATTTCTGTTGGCCTCCTGGCAGCTTCATTAAGGTCTGTGAGTGACATCCTAATTAATGTCCCCAGACAGTTGCCTAGATTTGGGGCCTCAGCTTCTTAAAATCACAGGCTTACAGCTAGAAGAGATTTTTGAGGCCAATTAGCCAACTCCCTCATTTGACAGATGAGGAAATGGAGGCTCAGAGAGGTTAGGTGACTTGCCCAAAATCACACAGCAAGCTGGTGGCATGTCCTGTCCAGTCATCCAGACAAGTGTTACATTCTACTGCTGCACACAGTATCTTATTCCAGTACAGGTAAAGAGCCTGAAAAGAAGCCAGGATTTTAGCAAGAATGAATGTGAAGGAGTCTCGTTCTAAAGTCATCCAACCTATGAGTGCAAGGAGACAGAATGAAGAAGGGCAGGAAGCATTTAGAGATATCTATACAGAAAGAAGCAAGTAGGTGCAAAAAGGAGGGATTAATATCACTCATTCAAAAGAACATCAGAACACCAAAGCACAGCACAAAATAATTAGAACAGAATTTATGCCACATCCAAAGCAATTGATTTTTGTTCTTTCTGGAGGAGACCGAATGGAGCCCCTGTCAATCTTTGGAAGATCTTAAGTCGGCCTTGATGGCTTCTGGGTTCTTTATACCCTACTGCAGGGGTCTGCAAACTAAAACTCATGGGCTAAATGTGGCCTGCCACCTTTGTTTAAAAAATAAAGTTTTATTGGAGCATAACCAAGCTTATTTGTTTATTATCATCTATGGCTACTTTTCTGCTACAACAGCAAAGTTGAATCATTGTAAAAAGACCATATGTTCACAAAGCCTAAAATATTTATCTGATCCTGTATAGAATAATTTTGCCAACCCCTACCCTAGTGTTTTTATTGAAACTTTCTCAATACAACCTTACAATCTGGAAAATGATGAGTCTGCATTGTATTCCTGTGTTGGGGGATTATTTTTATTTTATTTTTTTTTTACTGTGCCTGTGTCCCCTTTAATCCCTTTCAGTGCTACTTGTGATATCTAACAACCAAAGAATTGAAGACATTTAAAAAATAAATAAATTAGGGCCGTCCCAGTGGCGCACTGCTACAGTGTGCCGCTTGGGAGCGCGGCGGCGCTCCCGCCGAGGGTTCGGATCCCACGTACAGACCGGTGCCCGCTCACTGGCTGAGCGAGGTGCGGGCGCAGCACCAAGGGTTGCGATCCTGTTGCCGGTCCTGGTCCGGTTCGGGTGTGACACTGAGGGTTGCGATCTGTTGCCGGACACGAAAAAAGACAAAAAGGAAAAATAAATAAATAAATAAATAAATAAATCAAAACTAAGAGACTAAGAGAAAGACTTGGAACAAATGGCTGATTCCTAATATGCTGTTATACTCCAGATCAGTTCAATTCATACTTTCCAAGTTCATGTAAGTTCACTTTTAAACTTAAGGAGAATAACTGCATGTGCACCCATGTGTAAAGATGTAATTGTAGGGGCTGGTTAGTTAGCTCACTTGGTTAGAGTGCAGTGCTGATAACACCGAGGTCAGGGGTTTGGATCCCTGTACTAGCCAGCTGTCCCCCCCGCCCAAAAAAATTTAATTGTGCATGCATATGTGCTGCTGGTTTTTCTGTGTGTCTGTGGATTTGAGTACATCCATTCTCACACGCAAGCATGACACTCAAAATACATAAAAACCAGTTCAATATAGAGACTGACTAATAAAGATAGATGCCAACCTGTACGCCAGACCAGGGCACATTAGCTGCATGTAGCCCAACACATGATTGCATATTCCCACTCCACTGCTGATAAGGGACTCCAGAACAGGGGAGGGCTCATTTCTCTCTTCCCCCAGAGTGAGCAGCTAAGCTGGTTCCTGGTTTCCTTAGATGTATGATTTGTCACTGAGTTGGGTCTAAGTGTGCGTATGGGCACAGCAGCTACAGGACTCAGATGGCTGTAAACATTGTATGTGGAATAGACATGTAGACTGGGGCAACTGCCTTTCAATCCACACATGAGGGTACAAACTTTCCTTTAGTCTGCCCTACAGGAATAGGATTTCAACCATTTTCAAAGGCTGGATTGATCTACAGTCTTGGTGAATGGCCAAACACCATCTCTTCTATTAATGAATGTCTACCATGTGCCAAGCACCATACTAGGTAACAGTATATTAAACAGGACTCTTCCTATCTCAAAATTTGGACAGAGGCCTAAAGATCAGGAAAAGAAAGATAGATGTCAACTATTCTCAGCTACCCCCACATTTTAAATCAA